ATTATTATATATATATATATATTAGTTATAGTATATATATATATATATATATATATATATATATATATATATATATATATATATATATATATATATATATATATATATTTATACATATATATAAGCAATAAGCATATATATGTTTGGTGTGTTTAAGTGCACCAGGTGTGAGCATGCAAGTCTATCTGAGGATTGTAGGTATATTTGTGCTTATGTGGTTCCCTTGATATATTGCACAACTTCTTTGGCGATTTCGTCGTGGTATGCGTATATTGATGCTGAGCGCTCTCTGCATTTAGTCAGACATAACCGATTTTGACGAAAATACATGTCTTCCTTTTTTATTTCATACTCCGTGTGCGCCTTGTTTTATGTCGGTGTCGGCAATCAGCTGTATTTAGAATACTTCATTTCATCAAATCATGAATGAAGGGGTACTCGATAGAGAGTCAACCACTACTGCCCTATATACGCACGACCCTGGAAATTTTCAACGGCTTGTCTGGTTCTATGTCCTTTATAAAATGAATGTCCCAAAATGCAGAGAAAAATTACCACGAGCTTCGGACGTTTTCCCCGATCACGCGATTTTGTTCACAATTCGGTGCCATTACATCAAATGCCGACCCATGCAATTTCGGATATTCACCCCAATCACCGCCCTATTTTGCCCACAGTTTGAACCTCCTGTATTAAAAGCCAAACCGGCTGTGCGTAAGGGTCCGTTTGTGCTCAAACCATTGCCACTGGACGCACCGCAACGTCTCGCATTGGCACTGCAAGCGTTCACGCGCATTCTGCACAACGAGGAGCCTTTGCTCTCCACAGGACAATGCCACAAGCGAGTGGCCCTGATAGTCAAGATGGCTTCCATGACCATGCGCCTCAGCGCTCCCCCTGCTCAGGGTATGTGTGTGGGGGGGGGGAGTATGCATGTGTGTGTATAGGTGTATGAACGCGTATTTGTAGGTGTGGATGTGTGTGTATAGGTGTATGAACGCGCATTTGTAGGTGTGGGTGTGTGCTTCTTTGCGTATAGTTTTATATGTATTTGTGCTTCTTTTACGTATAGTCAAAGGTAATGGCTATGAATATAGTATATACAAATATATATATATATATGTGTGTGTGTATATCATCATACCAGCTATCTCTGATCCTGTCTGTTCCGTCTCTTTAACCTATCTGCAGTCAAAGGCGAGGCATCAGAAGTGCAGGAGACTGACGTGGCCCCCGAAAACGATCCCTTCGCAAACGCACTGCTGCAGTTTATACTGGCGGACTTCAAGGTATACACATACAATATATTGCTCAAAATACTTGTGTACAGTTTATACTGGCGGACTTCAAGGTATACACATACAATATATTGCTCAAAATACTTGTGTACATTAGTTTAAATCAGTTGTCTATACACTGCACGACTTAAAATGGTTGTATATATAATACATAGCTCAAATATATATCTCTATCTCTCTCTCTATAAATAATATATATATATATATATAATTATATATCTATATATATATATATGTGTGTGTGTGTGTGTGTGTGTGCGTGTGTTTCATAGTTTATAACAATTATTTCTACATTTTATTGTTCAAAAATCGTAATTCTGTCACATAGTCCAAAACAGCTATATGTATAGATGAATGCTGTAATACATCTGTGCATACCCTCTAAAACTTGACCGAAGTATTATTTACGAATCACGCTGGCTGTCTGCTGTGCTGTCACTAATTGTATGTTTTTCGCCCTCCCTCCGCACTTGTCATCTATTCTCCTCTCCGCTCATCCCATTCCCCTACAAACCCTCGTGCATCCATCAGCGAGGCTTTGAGTTGCTGCTTATATGGCTGTATCAAGAATACCGCAACGCCGAGCTCTTCGCAGTGTACGGTATTCCCGTTGCTATGGATATTGACCAATCAGATGACACGAATATTAAAATCGAGCCAGAGTCGCCCCAAAAGACCCAACGGTACGGCTACAAGCGGTTCGACTACTTCCTGATGCAGGCTGTGTTGGCGTGTAAGGATATACTCACACCTAAAGACCGTATGTTCACACGGCTTATTCTGGAATCACCCCGGATAACACCTGGTGTGCTCGAGGTCGTGAGAGATTACTGCCACTCGGAAGAATACTCGGTAGGTGGTACTAGTGATTGTTTCTGTGGGTATATACCTACATATTGTTTTATACATACTAATTCAAAAGTAGGATTCCCAAATATAGCACGCTCACCCACATACATATAGCTGTATACAAACTTATTCAAAAGTTTGATTCCCAGATGTAACACGCTCATACATGTTATAGTGCCATTCAGTTTTGCCAATATCCACAAATATATCCATTTTCATCTGATGAAGGCTGCATCGAGAAGCCAGAAGAGCGGCTGTATGAATTCCAGCGCAAAAGCTCGGTGACTCAGTTACTACGTATAGTTCACATGTTTTTCTTGTCTCAATGTCAATACACTACATGCATTGTCTGCTTTGTGTTTCCATGTAGACCCTCGCCGTGAGTGCAATCCGTTATATCTTGTATTGTCGCCGCAGTACTGCATCCATAACAAACTCTCTGTGCATTGCATACGGGACACTCACTGGGTTTCACCTAGCAATTTCTGTACAGTATCGATATCCTGTTTGTCGTTCTAGATACAAATATCTCACGAGTATCTCGCCACAGTTTCATCCTGTTGTCATATTCAGCTAAAAGCACAGTTACTGTGTATGTATCGCACTACACGCATACCCTCATATGGTCTTGGGAATATCCGTTTCATTTACTCCCATACAAATATACTCTTCAGATGGTTGTCCTAGCATAAACAAATTGTCGGCACTTGTGTATTTCCACACTAACCAGCACTTGGCGTACTCTCCGACATCGTCTCAACAGATTATCCGTCGTTATATTTACATATTGCTTAAATATTCCCATATTCATTATATACTCCCATGTGAGTTATATACCGCCGTACAATTTATATACTCCCATATTATTTATATACTCACATATTAATCATAGACTCCCACATTGCTTACCTTATCCTAATTTATATATACTCATACTCTCATACCTATGTATACCTATTTTAACAGGCGCTTGGTGTGGCGACCGTGCGTGATCTGATCGTACATCGCGTGCCTGACAGGATACCCGCTCTCAGACTTCTGCTCGAGTGCACCAACTCGCCGGATGCTGCGGTAAGTTCATGGGTAGCTGTGTATACACATAGGTAGGTGTATGTACTTGATGTGAATATCGAGATATGCACATGAACAGCTACATATATATAGTTCCTGTCGATGCGAATCATCAAGTTTGCATCATCTGTGTCCTGTAGTGCGAATTGCATGTGCGAATTACATGGCAAAAGAGGCCAAACTGTTATATATCATAGTATGTTACACAGGTGCATAGACAGTGCACCTTGTGTGATAGGACCAATCGATGGGCGTGTGGGAAGCCTCAACTGTATGTAAGCATATGCAAATCTGAAAATATATACGTATACGAATATCGTTTCGCGGAGCCTTGTAGATTTAATGTAGATTGACCGTGCTGTATAACAATTATCGCTACTCGACTGACTGAAATCGTTAGCGTGCAGTTCCGTCAGTATCCGTTCCATTCTCTCGCTCTATACCTTTCACATGACATAATTCCTGTGCCAATCAACCCCTCAATTCTTAACCCTGAAAACGCCACAGATGTCGCGAACGAATGCCATCATCAACATCAAGAAAATATACAGCACCATTCCCAGTGTACGGGACCACATCGAATCATTTGCCATCGAGAACTTCAGGCAACTACTGCCCGAACACCCCAGCAAAGCAATCTACGTCGCACCCGCTCCAGAACAACCCAACGGTATGGCGCTGCACTCTGTGACATGCGTATATCATCTGCTTATAGTGTGCACAGTTACACATCGCTATACTTCACACAGTCACGACCAGTACCCACATCATCTGGTTGTGGTTTATCATCTGGTTGTGGTTTTCGGTCGACTTCGCATGTATGGCTATTGATTTCATGGCTATTACCACCCACCCCACCATTCATATGCGCTGGCAATAGAATACACAAGTCATTCAGAGTGGCCAAGCTCTTGGCTATGGTACACACTATCACTTTTCAAATGTCCACTATGCCACTACAATAGATGCAGAAGCAGAGGACAGTCAGAACCCGCAGAAAGAGACTACATCGGAAACGGACCCATCAGTGCACCCAAGTGAAAAGGAAAAGAACCGGTCCAGCTCCAAACCCTCATCTGATACAGGTGCGGACAGTGCTATGCAGGTGGACACGGTCAAGACCGAGCCAGAAGACAGCCTAGTCAACGACGATCAGTATGTAGTTTCTTTTCTCGCATCGTACATATCCTGCAGATGGGCGTGGGAACACTCACTCGCCCATCCAGTACTTGACTTCTAAATAAGTTTTAACCAGATACTGAGGTGTTACAGTATATGGGTAAGGTTTTGATATGGTCCTGTCACTAACCCTCGACAGCTCACACCTTGTATATGGCCAGTGTCCAGCTACTGAAATCCTACAGTGTGTGCATCAAAAGTAGGAACGGTACAGTCACGGAACTTTTACAGTACTCCTGCAGTCTTCCAGTAAATGATTAGGGCTTGAGCCATCAACCTCTTTCAGTAAACGTAAGCTACAGCTCTTGCAGTATCCGCATACTCGAGTTACTTATCCCATATAGTATATCCTGGGTCGGTTGTACGTCCACCACCCCATCTCGCACAAAGCACATCAGAGTGAGCCTGGCAACTACATATCGCCATACCCAGCCATTGAGCTATAGGGCAGTGGGGTATGCTGGGACACTCATTCACTTCATTGCGCCTGTCGTACCGTTAATGTCTCTGCTATATCACTTGTCAAAATCTTTGTGCTAATGATTATATATGGCAGAACAACATACCACGGCTATGGTACAGACGCAACGATGCTCGACACTACAGACCAAACATCTATTCCCTAGACTTACGTCTTCGCATCCAGGATCGGTTTTGACTGAAACGTATATTACTTCACAATTGATTGTATCCACTTCTTGTGCACTTCAAATACATCAACATATACACTTATATATTTAGATATATATATATATATATATATATATACATCCACTATATATATATATATATATATATATATACTCGAACTACCTGACAGTACGTATAACTTGCTATATTTAAGTACCTATACACATCTATATCCTTACCCACAACTTATCAATATTCACCATAACTCTACTTCATTATACATAACTTATCTATTATAAACATAACATACATATATAGATCACTACCCAAACTATGTACCCTTAATAACTCATGTACTTTAAAAAATTTAATCAATTTACCTCTCTAACCCACCACTAGCATACAACCATACGTTTTATCACTTATATTCACTTGCCTTCTCATTCATGAAGCCTAACCTCCCTCAACTTTTTTCCACCTACTGAGACCTACTATATATATATATATATATGATTGTCTGTATACGTATATGATGTTACTTACATGATAGCACCGTCTCTCCGTATACAGAGTGCTGGAATGGAATGACGCGAGTATCGAGCTGTGCTGTCTACTGTATTATGCGCTGTGTGTGACCAATACCAGTTTACTGGGGGGCGTATTCGCACTCTACTGTCAGTGCAGCAACAAGAAGGTACAGGCAGGCATCCGTCGCAACATCGACACACTTGTGCGTCACATCGGAGGTAAGCTTCAAGAAAAGGGGTTCACTATCCGGTCTCCAATATAAAGTTTTTTCCTCGCTTCCCACGTGTGTCGGACCTTTATATATATATATATATGTGTGCGTGTGTGTGTGTGAGTATGTATGTATATATTTATTAATATATATATATATATACATATATATATATATATATATACATATATATATATATATATATGTGTGTGTGTGTGTGTATGTGTGTATATGTATATATATATATATATAATTGGTTAAAAGTATAGAGAATCATAGTAAGCATTCCGGAAAAAAGGAATAATACTAGTCGCATGTAGACACAATCGTATATATTTTGACTGAACCCATATCCTCTGATGTTTGTATGGAATATCAGCCGATAATGAAGATTTACAAGCAGTCATTCGTGATTATCCCGAAGGCGCTGATCACTTAGTACTCAAGGCGCTCAACATCGTTACTCAGGCCTCCAGGTACGTCCTGGTACAAGCCAGTGTAGGTTTTTGTCGAGTGTGCATAATTACGCAATGCTAGTGCACTTATACACATGTGTACTTCACCCGACAACATAAGGAGACATATTCACATTTTTGTGGATGTGTTAATCGCAATCCTTTGATTGTAGCACTCTCACACCAGCTATTAGTTCTGCTGTAATGCTGTGGTGAGCTATTTGTCTCCATACGTGAAGTTTAGTTCCCGTGTAGTGTAAGTTTATTTATAAACCAATGGCAACGTGCCCGTGCTGCGCCTTGGAGGATTGCTTAAGGTATATCTTCATCGCTCTTGTATGTGTGTTACATGGTCTCATTGGATGTGAACAAGCGTATAGATAAGTCTACATAAACGTTCGAGATTTCATACCAATCAACCACTATCACACCTTCAACGATACACGCCGTATTGCAGGAAGGATGGCACGTTACCCATAGCTCTAGTAGAGATCGCCCGAGAAAAGTTCCAGTCCACCAACAACATACATTTCCTCATCCAAGTGCTGGCGGGGCTTAACCGAGACGATATAGTCACTAATCTCGGTGCAATGCTGGGAATCAACGAGGCAGTTACCAAAGATGTGCTAGATAGGTAGAGTCTGTGCTACAGTTTGCTGTGCTTGTGTTGGAGTATAGCAAATGGATGTGTACGTACGTGTGTATATATAAGTAGTATTGACGAATGTATATACTGCTGTTGAGCGTCTTTGTTGTGGTTATCGTCCGATACGTGTTTGTCTGCTTCTGCTTGTGTGGATGTGCAACAACCAAGGCTAAACGACTCTGCCATCAATTGATCGAAGCACCAGGAATTCATAGGGCCGTGACTAAGCACTTGATATACATCTCGTGTCACTACTTATATATATATATATATGTACGTATGTATATATGTATGTATGTATGTATATATATATATATATATACTTATATACATATATATATCATGCATTTATATATGTATATGTATATATATATATGTATATGTATGTATGTATGTATATATATATATATTTATATATATATAACAGTATATATGTATATCTGCACAATATATATATCCACATCTATATCCCTCTGTATATATTATTGTATTATTGATATTAATATTATCATATATATATGTCTGTTTGTATATATCTGTATATCAGTATGTATATATATATATCTGTATATCTGTATATCTGTATATCTGTATATCTGTATATCTGTATAAAATATATATCTACATCGATATATATATGTATATGTATATATATATATATATATATATATATGTATATATAAATATATATATATAACTGTATATATAAATCTGTATATCAGTATATATATATATGTGTGTGTGTGTGTATATATATGTATGTCTGTGTCTGTGTATTTCTACACACACATAAGTAATATATACATATACCTATACATATATATATATGTCTGTGTGTGTGTGTGTACGTATATATTATATATATATGTGTATATGTATATATAAATAGACACACACATATCTATATATATGTATGTATATATATATATGTATGTATATATATATATGTATGTATATATATATATATATATATATATGTAATTTTATATATATATATGTATGTATATATATGTATATGTATATATATATATGTGTGTGTATGTATGTATATATGTATGTATATTTATACATATATATGTATGTATGTATATATGTACGTATGTATATATATGTATATCTGTATATATGTAAATATATAATATCTATTTATACATATATATATATATCTGTATATATATAATATATAATATTCACATGCGTAGTGCTTACTTCTTTGATCATATTTTTCTGCTCAGATTGCTTGCGCCGTATGGCTCCGGAGGTAGTGGGAACGGGTCTATCACACCGGCAGATCTACTCATAGCCATACATGAGCTCCGGCCTGCTAACAAACAGAAGCAGAAGAACATAATTTTCGCACACCGCTACTGTTTCGAGGTACATAAAACAAAGAGACGTGAATGTGTACTATTTCACCCGTCATATACATTTTCTCAACCAGCGCACGTTTTAGCGGATATGTATGTATCTATAATATTTACTTCGTTCGCGAAGTACGTAGTATGTACATGTACATATATATATATATATATATATATATATAACTATGGACATACAGAGTGTATAGTACATGAATTTCGTGCCCTAACTGTATTCTTCAAGTTGACTATTATAGGTGAGAGTGGTGCTGTTGTCGGAGGTGTCGGGTGTGACTATCTAGCTAAACTTTACACGCTTGTTCTCTTCTTTTACAAACATAGATACCCATATACGCATATGAATAAACCTTTTTTTTTATGTTCAACATTTCTGTCGTGTATCTCTAAAAATCCTGCAGAAGAAGGACGTGCTGTCGCCCGAGGTGTTGGGTGTTGCCATTCAGCAGATGGTAGACACTGTACCGTTGTCGCCTATGCTTATGTTGACGGTCATTAAGAGTGTGGAGGCCTATCCCAAAATGCAGGATTTCGTTCTTTCCATTCTAACACGGTAAGCGCTGTACGATAGATAGACTACACTAGTGTGATATATATATCTATATATATATATATATCTAGATCTATATATCTATATATATCCTGATCTATATATATATATATATATATATATATATATTTCTCTTCGGACAGGTGAGTTTTGCTTACGTGGTTGATTAACGATACCCAAGCGATGTATAAATGGCAGCGATAGGTGAACAATACCCTTGTATCTAATACACACGGCCATGTGATATATAATTATCGCTTTTACATGTATTTGTATTCCGTAATGATTCTGTACACCGTGATTGAAGTCCTTCACATAGAGTGTGTGCTGTTTGTTTGCGTTATAACTATGCTTGCATCGTGGTCGGACTCCAGGAATTGTCTTGGCATGCGTGGGTTCATTGTGTATTCTGTATTGGTTGCAATTTGTATCGTCATTTACATACGTTGTATAGGGTTTTTAGGTAGGGCTTTCTAAAGAAATGCTTACTGCCTAAAGAAAGACAGGCTATGTAAAATGGTTTGGATTTGCACTGTTTGGTGCATCCTGACTGCAATTGTCTCGTATCGCGCATCTCCCTGCTATGCTGCGGTGTTGTGTGCGATGCATTGTGTCTGCAGAAATTGCGGAGTGTACTCCCAGTATACTCCTCGAATAGTTTCAATTCTGAGTCCCTGTTCGTATGAACATGCCTTCTCCTGACCTGAAGCCTAAGTCACCTCGCACAAGTACTCTCGCCTGTCTCTGCATTCACCCCCTGCCCTGCACTTTCCTGTACATGGATGCTCTTACATATCTACGCGTTGCCTCCTTATCATACACTAACCAATATGTAAGTTATCGTACACGTGTACGTAGTCACTCCGTCTAGCCGTACCATGGCATAGGTACTCTCACATGCCTACGAACATCTGCCCTTCTCTATGTTAAATATTATGTGTTCGCACACACAGGTTGATCAGCAAAAGTATATGGAATACGGGGTCGCTGTGGAAGGGCTGGATCAAATGCTGTACGTCGCAGCAGATGCAACCGCAGAGTTATTCGGTGCTGTTGCAGTTGCCGTATCGGTACGTAGATGCTTATGTTTCAAGGGCTAAATTTGCAGAAGTGAACCGAAGCATAACTCATGTCTATCTATTTGATTAACAATAGCAAACTTATGTAATCTTCTCTCGTTTGCTGTTCGTAATTACGCATGCCCACTTCACATACACAAATACTTGGCTTTATATCCACTATTTTGTGTGATGGTTGTGTTGATAATTACATCACACATGCCACTCACTGCTGAAGTGAACCGAGGCATAACTCAATGTCTATTTCATTAACATTAGCAACGCTTATGTAATCTTCTCTTGTTTGCTGTTCGCAATTACGCATGCCCATTGTTTCTTTATATACACAAATACTTGACTTTACATCCACTATTTTGTGTGGTGGTTGTGTTGATACATTATATCACACATGCCACGCAGGCAGCTTAAAGAGATCCTAGAGCAACAGACCAACTTGGGCGATGAGCTGGTGAAATACGTGAAGGGTCTACCCATCCTGCAGCAAAACCAGGTGAGTTTCGTCAAGGAATACCGCAGTTTCCTAGTGACTGTTTGTACTACGAACTTAAATTGTATTCACATAGTATTATAATTAGGTTACATTCTCATAAACTATAGCAGATTAGAGGCGTACAATTCGGATCTAGGTACGAACAGTATTACATTTCCATTCCGTAGTGTGTGTTCGTCTGTGTGCGTGTGTATCTGTGTGTTTGTGCTTGTATTTGTGTGTGCATGTACGTTTTGTATATGTATATGTAAATGTGTATATATACGTGTATATGTATACATATAGCATATGTACACGTATATGTACATGTATTTTTATATACATGTACATGTACGTGTATATGTATTTATAATATATATCTATATATATATATATATAGATATAGAGATAAATTATATATATATATATATATTCGTATGTTTATCAACGGACATACAGGAATGTTCGTATGGAAACATACCCCGCATTTTAGCCATGTGAATCGATACACGTGGTACCTTGTGCCTAAAAACCCATATTTCAAATTCTTCTTCTGAACGCTCAGGTACCCCGAGATATTCGTCGCACGTTGGGCATCAAATTGTGATAGTTTAGCGCTGATATGTCGATTACGCGCTGCATACCTGCGAGCCACCAAGTGTTACACCGCAGTGAAAGAGTATTAGACAGTGATGTATACATAGTGACCTAATAAAAGATTTAGCTTTTGTCGTAAAGCATGCCGCGTCGTCGTCAAGTTCGCACGAAATGCAATCACGAATATACTGGCGTCAGGACGGAGGAAGAAGTGACAGGCAGCGAATTGAATAGTAACGGAAACGAAGACGGGGAGGAGATTCTCAGAAGTGTTCAAATCACAGAAAACGTTTGGTGGTGTAGAAAGCCCGCGAGAATTCAAAAGCGAACCTCTGCAGGAATATAGCTACAGTAAAGTATTTTCCAATATAAAACCCGAGCACGGTAATAGATAATCCTCAAGGTTCATGTACTAATCGGTTACTTTATATGGCATCTAAATTTTGAATAAATACTACACAATCTCTCTATATACTTCTAGCTAGGTATGCATAACTATAGAACATAAATAGATCGTTGGACACGTGTATTGTTTTATATGTCAATCTATTCTGATTATTTTGGGTGTGACTATATATCTTATTTAAATCTTTGATTGGCTGGGTTGACCAGCGAAACTCATGGTAGAAGCACCATTCGCGAAACCCATAGCGGATTGTTGTGACACTAGAGACTCTTCCTGTTTGCTTCTCTGTGCACGTCGACGCATAACAAGCACGCCAGCGGCAACACAGCCGTAACAGCACAAGCATAGCAAGAGGATAGCGGATCATCATTATGTTGCTCACTTCTTCAAATAAAGTTGTTATTAGAACTACGAAGATTGCCAATTCCCTTTTTTGTCTTTGTAGTTAGTAATAAATATATTGTCACGTATCAGTGTATATAGTCATAGTCATAGTCAAAGTGACATAGTCATAGTCATAGTTATAGTCATAGGTGTAGTATATATATATATATATATATATATATATACGAATGTATATACATCGTTATATATGTGTACAGTATATATACAGTTGAAGTATGCAGGACTATTTAATCTATATGTTTGTTTTTGCAAAGAAGTATTGGTTTAAAAGTCAATTTATTCTAATTATTTCTGGTGTGACTATATATCTTGTTTAAATCTTTGATTGACCAGGTTGACCAGCGAAACTCATGGTAGAAGCACCATTCGCGAACCCCATAGCGGATTGTTGTGACACTAGAGACTCTTCCTGTTTGCTTCTCTGTGCACGTCGGCGCATAACAAGCACGCCAGCGGCAACACAGCAGCAACAGCACAAGCATAGCAAGAGAACAGCGGCAACCGCACCGCCAATCATCATCATGTTGCTCTCTTCCTCATGAGCTGCCGCCGTGGCACCTGCGGCGGCACCGGCGCCAACAGCAGCAGCCTGCGCAAGGTCTTCTGCGGTGTAACGAACACCAGCTTCCTTGTCTACAGCTACCTCGCCCGCATCACGGGTGTTCATACCCTCGAGGGAACGACGACGACGGGCAGATCCATCATCGTAATCAACCAGAACAGTGAAGTTCATGGTGATGGCGTTACCGGTACGGTCTGAGGTGGCACAGGCCATCTGGGATGTAACCTGGAAAGGCATTGAGATGGTCTGGTCGTTTGGCTCGTAGGTCTGACTGAAATCAGCGTTACCAGCGATATCGCCCATGTAGTCCCCAAATGCGGAACAATCACCATCAGTCGTGCGTTCAACGTAGGTCACCTCGGCGTTGTACAGAGATACTCCACTGGCGGAAGTATCATCAGTAATCTGCCAGTATGACATAGCTCCCAAGATCGAAGATGGTCTCGGGCACGGCGTAGTCTGCGGCATCGTATACCTCGATCGACAAGTCGAATAGGGCATCAAGCTCGAACTCCTCTACCTCGCAGAAGTTGTTGGTATCAATGAAGAAGATGACGTTGGGCTGGAAAATCTGAGCGTCAGTCAAAGCGGGACACGCCTGAGGATTGCCGCTGGCGTCCTGTTCCTGGCAAGTAACGATGAGACCCTCAAGCGAGTACTCGCCAGTTAGATCGCACGCCACAAGGTCGAACTCGACATTCTGGATACATTCCGCATCGTCAGCAATACCGTTGCAAGCCGGTTCGAATACATAACTAGAGATGGATCCGACCTCGGCCTCGAAGCTCCCTTCTCTCATGCCAACAATACCGACCAGTCCTCCCTCGATGGTGAAGGGTGAAGGCAAGTGAGTCTCCAAGCGAATCTTGGAGTGATTCCAGCCGTCGAAGAAACCTACATCAACCAAGTTGATAGCGGCCTCAATGTCGAATACAGGGGGCTGGGGTCCACATTCGGGATCGGTGGAATACAAGGTGCACGTAGATGGGCAACCAGCATCAGTGTCTGGGTCACAACCGTTGTGGCTACATGCGGGATCGGTGGAGTATGGTGTGCACTCAGCTGGGCAATCCGCATCAGCAGCGGGGTCACAGCCACCAATGTTACATGCGGGGGCGGTGGAGTATGGGTGGCAGCCTTGAGAACAATCAGGGTCGGAAACAGGATCACAACCTCCTGGGTTACAGGCTGGGTCGGTTGATACAACAACACATGTTACAGGGCAGCCATCGTTCAGTGCCGGATCACATCCAGGGGGGTTGCAGGCCGCCGAGGTCGAGTAAGGGCTGCATGTCGCGGGGCAGTTAGGATCGTTGACGGTGTCACAACCCGGGTTGCAAGCAGGGTCAGCAGAGCCTTCAGTGCAGGTAACGGGACAGTCGGCATCCACACCGGGAGTGCATCCTGGGGGATTGCATGCGGGGGCTGTGGAGTAAGGGTTGCAAGTGGCGGGGCAATTGGGATCCACTCCGGGATCGCAACCAGCGGGGATCACAGAGAGCGTGTACAGGAATGGGGGTAGAGTGGCAGGGTTACTGTCCACAATAACGGTAGAAACTACTCCATCAACGGGGTCACTGTGATCGGGATCGTCAGTCATGTGAACATCACCAATGATGGAAGTGGTGTTGAGCGGAGCAACAACGGTGTAAACTGCGGCAGGAAGATCAGTGAAAACGAACTTTCCTTGCTCATCGGTTTGTGTGGTTGCCACAACGAAACCAGTAGAATCCTGAAGTTCAACGGTCACATCATTGATAGGCACTAGAGTGTTAGCGATGAGCGTCTCACCAGTGAGACTACCAAGGTGGACAGCGACAGGTACATCATATTTATAAGGGGGCACAACTGTGGCCGTGTTGGGTTCATCGACGATCACAACAGTGTGACCGTCTACATTGTCATCAGGATCAGTGGTAAGAACGATGCCACCTCCTAGATTCAAGGGCACATCAACATAGTGCTCTCCTTGAAGGACGTCATCGAAAGTGTACTCACCGTTGGGGCCGGTGGTAGTGATTTGAGTGGGCTCACCGTTCTGGGGAATGAGGGTAACTGGAACATTCTCGATGGGAGTTCCATCCTCCATAGTGACAGTTCCGGTAATCGAGTTCTCTTGTGTTAGAACGAAGTTGACATCACTGATCGACTCGCCTCGGAAATCAACGGGTGATTGACCGTTCAGCACCTTAAGACCTTCGGCATCGAACTCATCGGTATGTAGCAAGTACTCATCAGGCTTAGTGATCGTGACAGTGTACACGTCAACGTTGAAGATGTCCTCGAACTTGTAGTTACCGTCAATATCAGTAATTGTGGTCTCAACAGTCTCTCCATTGGCGCTGACGAGAGATACCTCTACACCTGCAATCATTTCATCACGTGTGTTACGGACATTACCAGCAATGGTGGCTGGCGGTGTGTATCCGAAATTGACATTTTTTATCTCGGTTCCAGGGGTTACGAACAAAGGAGTATCAGTTCCACTCTTGGTGGGGTCGTGGTAATCCTTTGTTAGAATCGATGTTGGGTCGTTGGGGTTCTCAGGGGGAGTGTCGACGATGTAAGTTGTTCCTGGGATGACTTCCAAGAAGGTGTATGTTCCGTCGGGACCGGTTGTGGTGGTTGCAATCACTTCGTTGGTAAGAGGGTCGGTTAGCTCGACAGTCACTCCTTCGATTGGTTCACCAGTAGTAGTTGTATATAGCTTACCGGTGATGTTGCTTGTGGGGTCAACTGGTGCTGGTGGTGCAACGTAGTGGAAATCAACGTTCGCGACAGAGTTGGCAGTGGGAGAAATGGACACAGAGTAAAGACCATCAAGGGCACCATCACTCTCCTCGAAAGGCTCATCTTCAAGAACATCATCGAACAGACTGATCTCAGGAGCAATGACCTGGTAGTCTTGAGGGGATGTGCTCAACTTAACGAAAGCGTATCGTCCCTCGCTATCAGTAACAGTAGAACCGACAACTTCACCGGCACCGTTCTTAAGCTGAACTGGCTCGCCAATGAGAGGGGTATCGAAATCTCCAGCCGTAAGTCGACCAGTAATGGTACCTTCATTGTCGTAAGGGAACACACCAGCATTGCTTGTCTGACCTCTGGTTACTACCACGCTCGTTTCTCCATCAATAACGGGGTCGGGATCTCCAACAAGTTCAACCGTTCCATATGTGGGATCAGTGACCACAGGAACAATCTTAACAGTGAATGGTCCCTCAGATACCTCAATGAAAGAGACAACTCCAAGCTCGTTGGTCAACTGAGTGTCTACAACAGTACCTGTCTGGTCAATAAGCTCCGCTGGTACTCCAACCAACGGGTTTCCGGTGGCAGCGTGGATTGCTTTGGCGGTAACAGAGCCGGTAATGGGACCTGTGTATGGGTTACATTCCGGTGCTGTTGAATACATGTTACACTCTGCGGGACATCCGTAGTGTTGCTCAGGGTCAGTGGGGTCACAGCCTCCTGGGTTACACTCGGGTAGCGTTGAACCTTCCGAACAAGTCTCGGGACAGTCTTTGATAACATCAGGATCGCAACCTCCAGGGTTGTAGCACTCGGGCTCAGTGGAATAGATATGACACTGCGGGGGACAATAAATATTTGTCTCGATGGTGCATCCATTGGGCTGACAGGCAGGGTCAACTGAACCAGGTCTGCAAGACACCGGACAGTTCTCATCCACATCGGGATCGCAACCACCAGTGTTGCACTCGGGCTCGGTGGAACCTAGTGCACATTCTCTTGGACAACTGGGGTTGGTGTCGGGATCACAACCACCTGGGTAGCATGAAGGGTCAGTTGAGTACAGGTTGCAGGTGGGTGGACACAAAGAATCAGTTGCGGGGTCACATCCGTCAGGATAGCAAGCTGGATCTGTCGAGTATATGTGGCAAGTTTCAGGACAGTCTTGGGTGGCTGTTGGGTCGCAACCGGTGGGTTGGCAGCCTACGGCTTGCGAACCAGGGTAGCAGTTCGCCGGACAGTCAGCATCGCTGGTGGGATCGCATCCGAATGTGTTGTTCCACTTGGAGTTGATTGTGGCTGCGACGTTTGCAACAGTGTCAATTTGTTGGTCACTGCGTTTCCTTCACGCACAACGGGGATACGTAGGTACTCGGCATCATCAATCTTTTCGACGAATTCATCCCACTGGGCTTCGATATCTGCTTCGTACGAGGTGAATCGGCCATATTCTTTGATAGTGGTGCCACATCCGTTGGGATGTGCTCCCCCGAGTTTATTGAAGGCTACACTGAAATCCAACTCTGAGCGACAACTTCCCATCAGCTTGTAGACCCCGCCAGACATCTTGTCTGGGTGGTCTACGGCGTAGTGACAATCCTCGAAATAAAAATCATTGAGCTTTCGCTCGTTGTGCCAAACGCCGACATCGGTTCTGAGATTAACGTTGTTGTTTCGAACATAAGCCTCGAGGATCTCGATACTGAAATTGGCTTGCAAAGCATACGGTTCACCAAGACTGCATGATGTTCCACCGACCGTGGATACACTAATTTTATCTAGCGTGGAGGCATATCCTTGCATGTTGCCGAATGCGAACACGGCGTCCGCGGCAGACCCGACAACAAAATTTGCACCTTCACCAATCACTTCCAGTTTCTTGTCTAATACAATAGGTGATGTGACAACATAGTCTCCTGCTGCTAGCTCAACGGTATCACCATCCGCGGCATTTGCAAATACATCTTGGTAATCTAAACTATTGGCGGCAAGGTTGGCCCCTGTAACGGAAGCCGTTAGGGCACTCAATACAGTAGCGCTATACTTCATAGTGCGGTTGTTGATCAATACTAACTTCTACTCACGCTACAACTGTATGTTTAGGATGTTGAAGAAATATATATATATATATATATATATATATATAGTTATATATAATAATATAA